GCGGCGGCGGGGGGAGCCTCTCCGCGGCCACCACGCTTCTCCCGCTGGAACCGGCGTCCAGCTTGGCTGCCCCTTGACCTTTTTCTGCAGCGCCTCTGGGCGCTCTGCGCCCCGCAACCCTGCTCGTTTCTCTTGAAAGCGGGCGGGGCGCTTTGCAGGATCCCGCCGCCCCTCCACCCGGATCTCGGGCCAGTGCTCCTCAGAGTGAGGTGCTGTCCGGACTCCTGCCCCGCCACCCCTGACCGCCGGGGGGTGCCCCAGGGTCGTAGCGCCGCGGAGAGGAGGAGGCAAAAGGGACCATGCGGCGTCTGACTCGCCGCCTGGCGCTGCCGATCTTCGGGGTGCTGTGGATCACGGTGCTGCTGTTCTTCTGGGTAACGAAGAAGAAGTTGGAGGTGCCGACCGGACCCGAAGTGCAGACCCCCAAGGTATGCGGTTTGGCTGCGCGTAGGTCTGGGGGCAGTGGCGTGCGGAAGGGCGCGCAGGCGGCGCGCGGGATTTACGGGCTCCGGAGAAGCCAGGGCGGGGGTCCGGGTGTTGCAAGCAGGTAACAGGCACGGGATGCGGCTACCGTGTGATGCTTGTGGATTTTCCAAAGCCCAGGGGGCACCTCCGACCTTCGGAGTGTGTAAGTGGCAGTGGTGTGGGTGGTGGGCGCGCGCTCACGCGGGCGGAGTGGGGCTCTCAACTTGAGCGGCGCGCCGGGGTCCCGGGGTCCCGGGTACTGAGGTGGAGAGGGCGTGCGGACTAGCCGCCCAGGGACTGACAGTCCATGGACACCGCCAAAGTCGTCCGAGGTTGGGTCGGGTGTCAGGGCCGGCTGGTGCCCGCGCCCGCCCGCGAGAAGTCTGGCGGCTGCGCTGACCTCCTTCCAGCCTCTGCCAGGCCCGAGTAGGGGAGGCCGGGGTGCTCTGCGCGCGTGTACATCGCGGGCGAGCGCCCTGCAGCCTCTCCAGCGACTGCCGTCCTGGCCCACCGGCCTCTTGCCACCTGGGCCCCTCCGCTGCACTGGAAGTTGAATGTGCCCACAACACCACTAAAGAGCTTGGGAAAACAGACTCCTTGGTATTGGTGGGGAGTTGGTTTTCCAACTCCTGCCGGGTCTGTTCATGTGCGCTAAGCCGGAAGATTCCCCCTACAGGCTCACTCTTACCTTTCGATTCAGAGTTCTGGTCCTCAGCCCCCTCTTTCACGGAGCCTACTGTGGGACACAGAAGGAGGCCTCTGAGGCTTTCCTAGTCAGCCGAACGACGGTTGTAAAATGGGTCCAGAGCAGGTCTCCCGGGGCTGGGAAAAGCCCTGCAGGAGCTATGGTCGGAATCAGGAGACAGAAAAATGCCAGGAAAGGTGTGTGTGTATGTGTGCATGGGTGTGTGTGTGTGTAGGGGGGGGGGGTGTCTTGCTCATCAGTACAGTACAGAGGGCCTACTATGTGCCAGGTGCTTAGTGTAACCTTCTTCCTAAGTAGTTGTAGGAATTGGGCAGTGTTATCCTTGTTTCATAGATTAGGAACAGGTTCAAGTCTTTAAGTAATTTGCCCTGGGTCATTCTCCTGGTTTGAATTCAAACCTCAGAACTCGGCATCTTTCCACCATATCAAGTTGTGGCTGAGATTCCTTTTTAACTCATCCTTCTGTAACTTAGGTTTTAGAATCTTGGCAATGCTCAGTTCATTTACACAGGGTTGTCTTTATTACCTACTGTGTGCTAGGTGGTGTACTAGATGCCATGGGCACAGAGAGGCAGAACCTACTCTCTGGGGTATGGATATTCACACTCATCAATGGACCAGGACCTGCAGAGGGCTGAGAGCTGAGATAGTTCAGCATGTTGGGTGTCATGGTTGCTGTGGCCTTCATGGAAGAGGAGGACCTAACAGAACTGAGTTGGGAAGGATGAACAGGTTTGCTAGTAGGTAGAGGGGCCATTCCAGGTAGAAGTTAACTACATAAATGACACAGCACATTGTGTAAATTTGGCATAATTTGAGAACATTTGTGGAGGATGGAGGGATGTGGCTGGAGAAGTGTGTGAGAGTCTAGCCAGGTAGGACCTTGCTGGTGTTAGGGGCTACAGAGGGACCTTGGGCAGGGTAGGGGTGAGGTCAAGATTGGTGACTTCACAAGCCATATGATATATAGTGATTGAATGTTTAAAAAATAAAGAGAATAAATAATAATAATCTGAAAAGAATGATGAAAAACTATTTGTTGATGATGATGTGGATAGTAATGTCTTTGTCTTGACTGATACACGTGGTCATCGTGCTGGAAAAAAATGTAATACACTGTAAAGATAGATGTGGTTAAATGTAATATAAGAATTATGATAATAATAAAATTAAAAAAAAAAGATTGGTGACTTCAAACAGCCTTTCTGGCACCGCATTCGTTTTTTCACTTGCCTCAGACCCCTGCCCATAGATCTGGAGAGCTTTTCTTCTTTTCCCTAGGTGGTTCTGCTCCTTGTGATGCAGTTAATGATGCCTGCAGGGACATGAACTTTTTCTGTTTTGTTTTGAACCTCATTACCGTAAGCTTGCTTATTCTTAGTTTACACCAGGGACCTGGGACAAGAGATCTGTCTCTTTCTTTGTGCACTGTGACCGTGTCCCTCCTCCTTTCCTGCCTCTTCTCTTCCTGGAGTGTGCTCAGCACACATTCATCGAAGGCAGCTTTATGCCAGGCTCTGTGCCATTTGGGGGGTGCAATGACGAATCCTTCACTGCATCTCTGCCTTTTGGTGTGGTAGGGGGCCTCTCATGAACCCCTGGCTAAGACGACGACATCATAAATGACTGAGTGTTGTGGGTCCAGGGTGGCCTAATGTCTGAAGACTGGACATGGTGCTGTGCAGTCACAGAAGAGGGGGTTTTCTCGCCTTATTCTTTGTCTTAATATCTTATTCCTTCTTCCCTTCTTTTTCTGTATCTTTCTATATCTGTGAATTCTGTAAACTTTCAATCTCGACATCTCTTATTAGGCACTTTTTTTTTTATTGTCGTTGTTAATATTTTTCTCTACCCCAGATGTGTGGCTTTGTGTGGTTACCTGTCTGCATTGCATATATTTGTGGATGCGTTTTGTATCTAGTAGATGAACATCCTTCTGTGTCTTAGTGTGTAGGGAGAGAGACAGAGAGGTCTCTTGAATGGTCCCAGAACAGTTTTATTCCCCTTGACTGGTATTTTGAGAAATTTGCATGACACATCCAAAGGGGCTCAGTGCTTTTCCAGCTTGACTGCATGTTGGAATCACCCGATGAGCTTGTTTAACATGGAGATTCTTGGGGTTTTTGCAGAGATTATGATCTGTGGGTTTGGGAGAAGGTTCTAGAGCTAATGTTTTTATAAGGGCTCTGTGTGATTCAGAAGTGGCCTACTGATGGGCAGCAACAGGAGTTAGGTAAAGGATACCATGTCTGTTGAGTTTTGTAGTTCAGTTGGGTCCGTGTAAATTCAGATTCTTCCTCAGTTTGCCCATAGATCTAGCTTGGTGAGCATATGCACTCGTGTTAAATAAATGCTAGCATTCGTGTGCTTTTACTAATTCAGACTCCATTTCACATATATTAGCTCATTTAATCCTCACAACAACCACATAAAGGAGATAATACTTTTGTGTGGCTGAAACTAACTAAGGAGGTTAACTGTTTGGTCCCAGATAAAGAAGTTGCTCAAGTGGCAGCAATGTCAGGACAAGAATGGAATGGGATTGTTCCGGACGTGCCTGTTCCAGGCTTCTTCCATGCCACTAAACTCTGGGAGTGCCTGGAACTGCACTTGTAGGTAATATGGTGAGGTTGGGATGTTTACACTGTGTGCTTGTGCCTTTCCAGAGGCTCATCCTTGGATCCTTGAGCAACTCCAAGAGGGTTGGTGTTGTTGAGGAGGTGCTGAAGCAGGAACCACTTAAGAAGGAAATCTGACTCCACCCTTTGAGAACACCATATGGGGCACAGGAGGATCCCCTCACTGGACAAAGTGTGCGCTGGTGTGGAGGGTCCTCCCAATGAGTAGTTGCACCCAAGGGTTGCAACATATTGGTTTTGGAATAATTTGTCAGTGACGAGATTTTTCTCAGCAATAGGAATTTGGATGAGATGTTTGTTGATGGTAGGGAAAAAAATTCCTTTTTGAGTAAGTTCAACATTTCCTAAGAAATGTTCATGTGTTTTCATGGGGAATGCTTTTGCCTTGGTTATGCTGAAGTCCTGGGGAAATTTTCATCCCTGCTTAGGCTGGTAGGAGCATCGTAAGGGTGATGGCTGACACCCTCTAACAAAAGACTGTTAACCAGAGAAAGACCTAACAGATGTATTTGATCATAGTTTTATGTGACACGGGAACCTTCAGAAGGAAGGTCCGAAGACATGGGGTAGAATGTCTATTTATAGAGCGAATGAAACAGGAACAGTTTTGTAGAACAGTAATTGGACAAAAAGGCCATGATGTGAGGAAAGCCAGCAAGGTCTGCCTGTCCAGGTTCTTCTTGACTTCATTGTGTATATTTGCTCCTCCTGTGTATAGAGAAGGACCCCTTTAGAATACCTGCTATCAGATAAATAGGCCAGAGAATTTCTTTTCAGTCTACTCTTATGTATAAGGACAGGTGGGGTGGTTAGAATAGTAGGGGTTTTTTTTTTAGAGAGATTTTTTGCTATAGTGCATGCATGCTCACTGGAAAGACAGAGAGAGACAGAGAAACAGAGAATGAGAAATCACCCCCCAGGGGGGTTAGCCATGCTGCAGTCTTTCCTCCTCCAGTCACCTCTTGGGATTTTGGGGATGCACACACACGCCTGGCATGAGTTTGAAGCTGCTGGGTCCGGGACTCGAACTGAGGTCGACCATGTGGCAGTCCAGTGATGAAACCATTAAACCATCTGCTGGTTCCAGAATAGTAGTTTTACGTTTTAGGCTGGTTCTGGGAAAAGCATTCTGGTTTATATGACCCACCTTGGGGAAGAGTAATTATGACTCTGGGAAGAATGAGAGATGAGAGCGGGGGGCAGGAGAAAGTCAGAGAGAACTTTGCTTCTGAGGCATTTTGTGGTTGTTTTCTGAGCCCCAGCAGGCTTTTTCCCAGCTGGTGGATAGAGTCAGTCTATTTTCTGAAGCTAGAGCTATGGGCTCCCTTCTTTGAAAATGCTCAGAGATGGGACCAGCAGTTAGCGTAATGGCTATGTTGCTGAACTCCCACGTAGTCGACTGTGGTTCGCGTCCCGGACCTGGTGGCTTAAACTCACGCCGGGCACGTGTGCGTGCGTGCCCAAGATCCCAAGAGGAGAATGGAGGAGAAGGGATTGCGGCATGGCCATCCCCCCTAGGGGGTGATTTCTCGCTTTCTATCTCTCTGTCTCTCTCTGTCTGGTGAGCACACACACCCTATAGCAAAAACCTCAAAAAAAAAAAAAATGCTCAGAGAGG